CAACCTTCCTTCCAGACTAGAAATTTCTCAAGTGCTCCAGAGATCTGCACGGTCCTGGACACTGAGTAGGCATCACCAAATTGTTTAGGGCAGAGAAAGCAGAAATAGGATCCCAGAGCTGAGGCCAAATCCCAGCCCCACTCATGGATCACCAAAGCTGTCTGCCCGCCCTCGGTACCCACTGCTGGGTGTGTTCAGCACAGTACACAACCGGGGAGTAGCTGAAACACAATAGCAGGAAGAGGGAGGTGTTGGGACCCAGCTATGACCCAACCTCTTCTCAGCAACACACAGGTCTTCCTGGAGGTTCACAGTGGCATCTTGGCAGGAGTGCGGTTTTGACAGAGTAACTGGATTGGCAAGAGGACCATCAAAACAGCCAAAGGCAGTAACTGAAAGTCCAAAGCAGGACACCTATCGTGCTGCAAGACTGTTCTGTGAATCTGCAGAACAGGCAGAGGAGCTGGCCTGGATGGTCTGAGATAATTTGTTGAAATCACACAAACAGAGCCAGTGTTAGCCTAGGACACGGAAATGGATTCCTCATACAGAGTTCTTTGTCCCTGAGATCGGACGCTGGCCATAATAATGAGATTCTTTCCAAAACAGTCTTGCTGCTCTCACCCTCTGGAATGGGCCTCCCATGGGCCTTACACAAGGTGGCCCAAGTTATTCCCCTCCTAAGGGGAGGTTTCCTTTTGATCCACATGAATGGAGTGCCTGTTAGGCACCAGGTTCTTAAGCCTTAAGAGGGCATGAAAAACCAGAGAGACAATGACAGCCCGATAAGAACCATCCCCCCAGGACACATGGGACCACAGAGGGAACCCAACCTAGCTGCCCAGCCAGGAGGTCAAGCCAGGGAGGGCCTTGAAGGGAAGGAGGAAAAAGTCAGAAGGGCAGGGTTCCCAGCAGAGAGACACTCACAGTTACCCACCTCTGAGGAATCATTCACCTTTTCAAAGCTAAGGGCAGTGGAGATGGGGTGAGGATGGGCCGGGGGCCTGTATACCCACGTAGCCACCTCTCCGAGCAGAGTTCCATGTGTACAAGCACCCTTGTACAAAGGCCTCCCCAGCTTTAAGGGTTGGGGAGAGGACCTCTGAGAGAAAAGATGAACTTGGCCTCCTACTGTGGACTCCACCCCTGTTAACAACAAGCCTCACTTTCTACCCCTCTGAGAGAGAACCGCTCTGCTGGACCGAAGCCTAGAGGCAGCACCTACATAGATAGGTAGCGGTGGACATAAATGTTACATGGGAAAGGCAGGGACTCTGTGTCAAAGGAGGATGTTCGCAGACTCAATTGTGGAATGGGTCCCTTTTCCACGGAGCCAAGGCAGACTCACCAACCTTCTTCTCTCCTCCCAACAGCGCCAGCCATGGAGAACTCAGCTCTGCACCAACACCCCCCAGGGCTCTCCACTTGTACAGTCCCCTTCCTGTTGGGACACAGTGTCCCCACTGTCTTTGCACACTGCACACAGGAGGAGGCAAAAGTTCCATAGCAGAGATCACCGGCCAGCCCAGCCCAGCCCAGCTCACCATCTCTACATTTCAGAGAAAAGCGAGAGGAGGGCAGGTGCCACCAGGAAGGTGGCCTGCGATGAACCCAGGAATCCAAGTTCACTCCCTAAGGCTCTGGGTGGCCTTGAAAGGCAGTGCTGGAGTTGCAAATGCCTTGCCTAGATCTGGACCCACTCGCTCAGTTTTGAAAAAGCAAGTCTCCTCCTGGGCCTGTTTTCTGACCTGAGAATAAGAAGAGCGTCTCCTGCTTCAGTTAGCTGAGCTCATACACCGAACCACAAGGTGTCCTAGGTAGACAAAAGCTACTTACTGAACATCCCTTAATTACCAGCCCCGAAGAACACGCACGTCTTCCACCCTTCTCTCCCCAGCCCTCCTGAGCCAACTGTGGGTGCAGCATTGGTGGGTGCTTCCACAGTCCTGGGGTAGCTTAGAGCAAAGAGCCCCAGACACCAATTGCCAAGGATGTGGCTGGAAAATGTCTTTGGTGACAACAACTTCAGGTGCTTCCCACATGCTGGCCACTATTTTCAGTTTACAAGGGTTAGCTCAGCTGAGACACACACACTGATGAAACTGTCTGTTATTCTCATTTTACACAACAGGAAACTGAGGCCTGGAGTGCGTGGCTGATTCTGCACTCTTCGTTCCTGCCTCATCTGCTTTCCCAATGTACCTCAACCTGCTCTCATGCAAAAGCACAAAGGCTTTGAAGTCTGACTCTTCAGATGAGTATCTGGCTGTCTGTCCTGCTTTTAGCTACATAGCTATGGGCCAGCCCTGAATCTCTCCAGCTCAGTTTCCTCATCCACTCAATGGAGCTGAACAACCCAGGCAGACCTCTTGCAAGGACTGAAGGGGATGAGAACAGCGGCTGCTCTGCAGGCAGAGGTGCTTTACCCCTCCTGGCCTTCCTTGTCAGCACTGCTCCCTGCCTGGTCCTCAGCTGCACAGTCATGCTGGCTTCCTCTCATAGCCACAGGGCCTTTGAGTCATACCCTGGGTGGATCCCTGCAGCTGGGTCCCAAGGAAGAGCCCAACATTAGACCATCAGAAGACACAAGGAGTTTTCTGGCTCAGGTCAGCTCATGCCAGTGGGTTTCAGTGTACCTGAGGGGCCCCAGCTCCACTTAGATCTGTGAACTGTCCTGGAGGGGGCAGCCCGATCCAGTAAAGACACTTGGCAGGGACTGTGACATTTGTCCTTTTCTCACCAACACGATTTCACTAATCCAAACATCTGATGTACACTTTACAAAAAAAAAAAAAAAAAACACCCACACTCTGCCTCAAAGTATCCTTACCAGAAACTTAGTAAAGATGCCAATGTATGTCTGCCCCTCTGTGGCAGACTGGCAAAGATCACATCCATTCCCAACCAGGAAATTCTTGGCAAGGGGCCCGGGGAGTGTGCGCTGGCTGTCACTCGGCCTGACATGCATCTCCCTGTCTGGGTTTTGGCTCCTATCTGTTTGGTAGGAAGCAGTAGGACCTGGCCCTGAGTGAGTTCTGTATTCTATTCCAAATGATTCACTCAATGGTTAGCAATCCCAGAGCTGCCTGTCACTCTGGGGGAACCCTGTCAGGAGAAGAGACCCCAACTCATGACTCAGGCTCCAAATCCAGCATCCTCACCCACTGCCAACGAACCCTCCCTGGGACCTGACCCTCTGGACCGGGCGGAACGAGGCTGAAGATGAGGTGCCACTCAAACCGTCCTGTGCATGTTTGAGCTCCTCCTCCATGCCAGGTTCTGGGGCAGATGCCAGGCTCCTCCTCACCCTGGTACAGCCTACCCTCCGTGAAAGACAAGACCCCACGAAGCTAAGAAGGTCCAGATCAGGTCAACACCTGGTGGCACGGCTTACACCAAAGTACATCTTTTAGGGAGATCTCCAGCCCTTCCTTTCCCCCCTGGGCCATCCCTGCCAGGGGCGGCTCAGTCCCTGGTCTGTGTGTTCACTGCTATTCCCCAGACAAGTGGCGAACCCTTGAAGGCACATGCGTGTTAGGTCCCCTTCTCTGGACCGTGCTTCTTTCAATTCGCATTTATAAACTCAATCAACTTCGGTATGTCCATGCAGGGGGACACTGGTGAATTTTTCTCTTGAAACTGTGCCTTCACAGCAAAGGTAGGGTTGGTACACGGGAGCCGAATTCATAGAGGAGAGGCATGGCTGATGGGTCTTGCAAGGTTTCTAAGGTTTTCCCAGCGGCCACTGCTGACCTCTGAATAAAGCAACAAACCAGCAGAAGTGCCTAGGGCCTCTGGGAGGAAAGGCCCCCTTCCCTACACAGCCTCTGACAGGTACTTTGCTTTCAAGCCAAAGAGATGGAGCTGGGGACCCGCAGCAAAGGCTGACAGCCCACCTGGTGACTGATGGGGAAGCAGGGAAGGTGGCTGGGGTAAGGGAGCTGCGCAAAACCCAGCTTCAGCTATTAATCCCACAGAGGCAGTGGCAGTGTGCTTTCTGTGGCCCTGCATTCCATACGCCCTGCCGGAACCTCCACCCCAGGCTGAATCAGAGACCTCACTGGTCTCCCGGGATGGGATGTCCTAGCCTTTCCAGCTGTTCGCCTGCTGCTCTGACTGCCAGAGGCCAGTCTGGGAGACAAGGAGGATGGAAAGAGGAGCAGAGGATGGTGGATGGGCGGGCGGCGGAGGGGAAAATGACGCCACCCCTACCTCCAGCCAGAGGAGGGCCCACCACATGACAGCGCGACCCTCTTCCCCCAGGCCACCTGTCCCTTATCATCGCCACAACCCCAGTTACGGGCCACCTCCGGGTGCACCCCGACTGTGGGGCCACGACCTTCGCTCGTGTGCATGCCGCGTGTGGCACACCCCAGACCCTCCCCCAGTGCACGCGCGCACGTACACACACACACACACACACACACACCACTCCTAGGCTGGATTGGCACCCGCCCTCTCCCAATTTGGAAACCAGACACACCCACGTCCACTTCTCCATCCTCCTTGCCAACGTCGCTGTCTCCTACCCACCCCCATCTACAACGCGGCGAGACGTCCCTCTCCGCAGGCGCTCTTACACACACCCACACCCGTCTCTCTCTCCCTCTCTCTCTCTCTCTCTCTCTCTCTCTCTCTCTCTCTCTCACACACACACACACACACACACACACACACATGCACGCACACACCCCTGTGTCCTTCCTCGCCCACGAGCCAGCGGCGTCACCTGTGACTCGAGCGCGCCAGTAAGAGCCATCCAGGTGCTCCCCAGCAGAAACGCCGTCCCTCCCCTACCCCCCGACCCCCACTTTCCTCGCTAGTGGCAAGCGAGCAGAGACTGCTCTCCCCTTTCTTTTTGTCCAATCGAAACCCCCACTTCCGCGGTGCCGGCTCCCCAAAGTCCGCTCCCCCGCGCAGTGGCAGCTGAGGGGCGCTCGAGCGGCATCCCACGGGCGCACCTCTTCTGTTGCTCCACGTCGTGCGTCCGGCGGGCTTACCTAAAGCACTGAAAGCTGGGGAAAGAGACGGCACGAGCACAGCGAAGAGGATGGGCTTGAGCTCCAGAGCCGAGCCAGCGCCAGGCGACGTTTGTTTCTGTCCCCGCGCAGGGCGACTTTAAGAGCGCCGCGGCCCCGCCTCCAGCCTCGCCCCT